AATACGAACGTCAAGACAGCCAGTTCTACTGTATAGAGCTGAAACTTGAAGAACTACCTAACCATCATCAAAAATGTACAAGTATTTATAAACAATTGTCTACGTAAGATACTCAATGTCCATTGGCTGGATACCATGAGCAACAATATACTATAAGAGAGAACAAACCAGCTTCCAACTGAAGAGGAAATTAGAACAAGAGATTGGAGGTGGATACCATATACATTACGGAGATAATCAAATTGCATTACAAGGCAAGCCATGTCTTGGAATCCTCAAGGTCAAAGAAGAAGAGAAAGACCAATGAACATACTACACCGAGAATTGGAAATAAACATGGAAAGGATCAATACCAACGTAAAAGGATTGCCCAGGACCGAGTTGGATAGAGAATGCTGGTAAGCGGCCTATATTCCTCCAAAATATACGAAACGTTTTTTACTCGACCCTTTCAATTTAGCCTATTTAGTTTATAGATTCTTAAATGATATTCTATATGCTAATGAGTAGTAAGTAATACATTTTTCTATTTTATTCTGATTGATTAATAAGTAGCACAACCTTTGTTATTAATTATGTATGAGCTCATTCATATAATATTTACCCTTACATAAACAATTACTTTTAATATCACTAGTTAAGATCATCAATCATTGGAAGCTAGACTACCATGTCAAACTTGGAAGCATTGAACGGATTCGTGGATGCCTACTATCGAAGAGTCTCACAATAGGACGAAATTGCCATCCATTACTTTCAAGTTTTCCATGGTGATTTAACTTCAATTCACTCATAATCTCAACTATTGAAATTATTATAAATATCTCCACAAAAAAAAAATCCCCCTTCTGATATTACTTTTCAATTTAGATAAATATCATTACCAGTAATTGTATAGAATATGCTATAAAAATATTCTACATGTGATCATATGATAATCATCAAAATGTTTTCATCTATCAACTGCATAAATTTTTTTTTTGTTGCTGATTTGGTTTTACAAACACCCACACATTAATCAATCAGTTATGATCATAGTTTTTCATTGTTTATGAAGAAAAAAAAAAAACTGGCAAGAAACAAATCATTCTTTTCTTATTGAGTATTAGGTGGTCGACTAGATATGTAGGCATGTTAAAATACAAAATGATTCTAGTATAGTAACAAAAAGAATAACTCGTTTATAATTTTAATCTTTTCATTAATTATTTTAGGAAATTTATTTATTTATATAAACAATTTATATGATGTCGCTTTGTGAGATTCGAACCCAGGATTTATCAGTCTCGCGTGTGAGCACTTAAACACTAGACCACTGAGGCGGTATCCAATAGTGTTAATGTCTAACTTCAACTAATCCGCGAAATTGAGCGACACATCCACCATTATTATCAGTGAGTTATTATCTCACAATAGACCCGGTTGAACTCAACTGGTCACTGCCTCTCACTAGAACTGCAAAGAAATACCTCTTAAAGCCAGTCACTAGTGAGCATATGTTGATTCATATCAGGAAGAGGTTTTGTGGAGATGGTAGCAATTTCAATAGTTCAGATCATGAATCAATTGAAGCTAGATCACCATGGAAAACCTGGAAGCACTGGACGGCCATTTCGTTCTATTATGGGACTCCTCGGCAGTGTGCATCCAATTATTAAAATAACCAATTACTCAACTGAATGACCATTATCAACCTTATACATCCTATTTAAATTTAGTAATCTGGAACCATTTCATTTATCTAAATACACTCTTAACTTCTTGATGTATCACAACAAAGAATGAAAAAAATGGTGATTCCCGCAGAACTGTATAGATTATTATATTCATTCTTATAGTACAATGAATAACTGACTGAATTACTGTGTTTATATACTCCGTTTATCGTAACCTATCTTTTAACCTATCAACTATTACTATAATAATGATTATTCCTATTTTACTATCAATCGAATTTCCTCAGCACGTTTGGCTCGTTTATGTACGACTGGAATTTTTCATTTCATGATACGATGTAGAACATTATGTTCGTATATAAACCCACATAATTTTGAGCTATAATACAATAGAACCTAGCTGCTGACTTCTCTTTGGACTCGAGGCAAATGATACAGAAGGGTTGAGAATAGAGGATACATATGAATTTAGATTGCATCAGCTCAAAGTTAACAGTGAAAATTAAACGTATAAATAGTCAAGTCTTGGACAGTATACTACAGAAGAAAACGTTGATGCGAGATAGAAATATATATAATAAGCATCCTGACTAGAGACCAAGTTAACACGTGATATTAATAAGCGATTTCAAGCCATAACACTTATGTAAATGGTATTCAACCGATAAAGTATCAACATAAAAAAACAGTATGTTCGGAGTGAGGTTTTACCGTCTAACGATACATCAGATGAAACATCAAGTTTATATTAGTAAAAAAAAACATTTCTCAAGTGCAGATTAGTGTCAGTCAGCTACAGAGTAGGACGAGGCATATATATGCATCGGTTCAACCTGCCACATCTCATTAAGACAACAAGATGAACATGAAATTCACTTCAATTGTAGTGAAATATTAAAGAAAGATTGTGCATAAGGATATAATACAGGAAGAAAGAATTAGTTGGTAGATAGAAAGCTACAAAGTAATTTTAAGCTCATTGTTTAAGGGAAGACAGAGAGTGTATACACCTACGCCGTTGTGATCGATTCTGAGCCATGTCACACAGTCTCCAACCATTGATTACGATAGGCACACGGACCTCAACCAATTAGCCTGCATCTACCAACATGGCTCAGATCAGAAATTAACAACTTCAAAGACTGAAGGTTCGTTTTGGTTTGACTGGCACTAACTGTCAACTATCCTCAACACTAGTCACGTGTTACAACACGTGACCCAACCATCTCAGTCGATGAAAATTTACCTCATCAACTGATTTATCATCATTCCCTAATACCATGAGTCTAACCTCACTATTACCCGGTGATCCCAGCAGATACGACCAATATTTCTAAGACATCTGTGATCGAATACTAGTAACTTACGAGTATCTTCTACTCTTAATGACCACGTCTGTCAGCCATAAAGTATAGCAGAACGAACTCCCGCACATGATGCTCGCCCTTTAATTGATAGGTGGATATCTAACCTTCACTATAGGCGAAGTAATTTGGCAAAAGCCAAACAGGATTTTCGAATCCATACAGAGATTTAGTCAGACACCAACCCATTAGAGCTGATTGAACTTCCACGATAAGTGAAGTTGTCGACGAGTTCAACTACTTCAGGTGTTACGCAGGCCAGTCGTGAAGCAACAACTTGCGTTCAGAGGGGGAGAAACGCATCCCAAACACCCTGGCATTGTTGCCCAATGCTATCAAAAAACTACATTTTATCAGCGTTTTCACCAAACAGGACTATGTCATCTGTATATTCTAAGTCGATAAGTGAACCTCCTGCTAGCAGATCAATTCTTGAAAAATTCAGACGACGAGAATGTTATTTCCATCATTAGGTCTATAACGAAATTGAATTGACATAAAGATAATGGACAACTTTGTCAAACACTACTTGAAATTGTAAAATCAAATGACAATTCACCATATACTCTAACTTAAACTAGTGTAATGCTTATTCAACTTACCCATTATTATACCAAAAGACAATAGTAACACACAAAAACTATTAATCAATTTATGAAATAAACAAATTATATTAAAAATTATTGCTTGAAAAAAAAAGAAAGAATAATGTTTGCCAAAACAAGAAAAAAAAAACTCAGAAAACAAAACCCACATCAACACATACTACTAATACACTAATACTAATTACGGAATACAATGTCAATATTGTCTTTAAAAGAAGAAAACACCACCACCACCACTCCCAACAACAACAACAACAACACAAACTTTAAAACAAACAGAAATTATGCAGGAAAAAATAAAAAAGGGAACACAAAACATCAATAATATCATCACAGTATATATATATATATAAATATTAACATACAAATAAATAATTAGAATACTACTTAATTAAATAGAATATAATATGGATCTAAGTGAATACACAGAAGAAGAACATAAAACAGGAATGAAATTAATATATATGTGTAAAGAAGAGAGAAGATTCATGAAAGAAATGAACTAGAGAAAAATCCTTAGAACCATTTTAAATTTCATATGGATTAATAAAAGAATGACAAATAACCACAAGAGAAGTTTACATATATGAATAAAGAATAATTGAATATTGAAATTATAAGCAATAAAATGCTTTTTTTTTTTTTGACAATAAACAATCAATATTCATTTCATAAATACAAACATATAAAATGATAATATCAAATGAAATGAACTAATATAGAATAATTGATAATCATTAAGAAATTTAGAACAAACACAAACCACCACCACGACCACATAATGATGATGATGATGATGTGAATAACAGTGAATGAATACTTATATAAATCAATACTTTCTTTTTGTATAATCCATTCATTCATCAAAGGGAAACAATACTATAGTGAAATATAGTAGTATTACTATTAGTAGTAGTAGTAGTAGTAGTAGTAGTAGTAGTGGTAATATGTGCGTATATTGATACCAATGATACAAGTCAATAAAACAAAGAATGAAATGATAGTTTATATATATATATATATAATTTTAATCAAAGTCAAAGTTAGAAACCAGCTAACTAATTAGTTTGTTAAGTTAGTAAAATGCGCTTTTACGGCATGAATATTATTATTATTATTATTATTACTATTATTACTGTATTAGAAATTATCCTTTAATGGATTGAAAATTAATGGTTTACAAGACAAATATAATGTGTAATAATGACAGGTGAATAATAATAATGATAAAAAAAAACACAGTGAATATTGGATATTATGATCACACTGTCAATCAATATACTGCTGTCTCTCTCTCTCTCTCTCCCTCTCGTGTCGTCATCATCATCATTATCGTCGTCGCCGTCGTCAATTTTTCAAACTTCAGGTTCCATAACCAATTTAGCTGGTAAACATGTTTCAGGTAATTCTTCAAGCATAGATTGTTGTAAATCTGTCGCTTGTTGACGCATTTTCTCTGGTGTAAGATTAACAACTGTTTAAAATGTAAATAACAATAAACAAAAGGTTCACAATAATTCATATTCAAGTAATAATATAGTACAAGAAGGTATTGTTTTCATTTAAAGTTTATATTACAAAAGAATATGAGTTGTTGAATGAAAAATTGGCGAGACTATAATTTAGAGAGAAGAACCAATCAGATATAAGATAATGAGTCTTGATTTTTGGAGCGAAATTCATTCATTACATACTTTCGCCTGTTACTCCTCGTGAAGGAGCATAGGCCGCTTACCAGCATTCTCCATCCAACCCTCTCCTGGGCAATCCTTTCCAACTCTTTCCAGTTCTTATTCATCCTTTTCATATCTGCTTCTATTTCCCGACGTAATGTGTTCTTTGGCCTTCCTCTTTTCCGCTTCCCTTCAGGATTCCAAGTTAGCGCTTGTCTCGTAATGCAGTTTGATGATTGCCTCAATGTATGTCCTATCCATTTCAATCGTCTTTTCCTAATTTCCTCTTCAGCTGGAAGCTAGGTGGTTGTCTCCCACAAAAGGCTGTTGCTGATGGTATCCGCCAATGGATGTTGAGTATCATGCGTAGACAGCTATTGATAAATACCTGTACCTTCTTGATGGTGGTTGCTGTAGTTCTCCAAGTTTCAGCACCGTACAGTAGAACTGCCTTGACGTTGGTATTGAAGATTTTGACTTTGATATTTGTTGAAAGTTGTTTTGAGTTCCATATGTTCTTCAGTTGAAGAAATGCTGTCCTTGCTTTGCCAATCCTCGTCTTTACGTCTGCATCTGAACCTCCCTGTTTATCGACGATGCTTCCCAGGTATGTGAAAGATTCCACATCTTCCAGAGTTTCGCCATCAAGAGTGATTGGATTGCTGTTCTCTGTGTTGTATCTGAGGACCTTGGTTTTCCCTTTGTGTTTTTTGAGGCCTACTGATGCAGAGACTGCTGCTACGCTGGCTGTCTTTGTCTTCATTTGTTCATGTGTATTGGATAGGAGGGCTAGGTCATCTGCGAAGTCTAAATCGTCTAATTGATTCTGAGCTGTCCATACATTTGGCTAAATACAGTTTTGACATTATAGCTCATGACAGTTAGTGATGAAAACCCTAAATCTAATTTTTAATTCTAACTATCAACTGTAAATGAGAATTCTAACTGTTTTATAATTCTCATTTAATCCTATTCAGTAGGTGTCCACTCTCGAAGTCACTTCAGCGTCGCTCAAAGGTTGTCCATAAATTATAGTCTCAGTGAAAAATTATCATCAGATATTTGTGATGAAAAATTGCAATTTTTTTCAGGAATACGATCACTTCATTGTAACTAGTAACAACTTGATAACCATTTTAATCGATAACCAATTAATCAGTTTCATAAAGAAGTGTTTAAACTATTTAATTGTTAACTTAACATGTCTGTCTAATACAGTTTCTTTAAATCGAGTAAAACTGATCTGTGATTATTAAATAGCCCCCAAATGCCCTGTTATGGTCGAGAGTGGGGAGAGTGAACTCTCCCTCTCGAAACGCTCTCAAATGGCCACGTGTATACAACCACTTCCAGCGAAGTCTTACTCACTGTCTTGTCGCGGCAAGTGTGTTATTTACGAAATTGAGAGGACGAAAAGAGAATGTCCGGAGCTTTAATCGGTCTAATGGATATGAAGGATAAACATAAGGGAGTTAGGAAACTCCGATTACAAACCAATAGTGGACGTAAACCCCATGATCCTGAGAGAAAAAAATTGTGTGTGAACCTATTGTTGGTCACATGCTACTATGGCACTGCATCTTCTGACGCTGCTCCATTGCCTTGTAGATCAGGTCAAAGGCTCCGGGTGTGGCCCCTAAGAAAACCATGTACTTTAGTCTGGGCATCCGGGCAGTATTGCAGCTCACACACAAATCAAGTGACTTGTGTGGAGTATATGTATCTGGTGCCCCCTTGTACCAGTAAATAATAAATAAATAAGCCAACTCTGGGTGAGAACAAACTAGATTCCAGCCGAAAAGGGAAATAGGAAAAGACGATGGGAATGGATAGGACATATATTACGGAAATCACCAAATTGCATCATAAGACAAGCCCTAACTTGGAATTGTGAAGTGAAATGGTAAAGAGAAAGGCCAAAGAACACAATACGTCAGGAAATAGAATCAAATATGAAAAGGATTGCCCAGGACAAGGTTAGATGGAGAGTGTTGGTGGGCATCCTATGCTCCTCCACGAAGAGTAACAGGCGTAAGTAAGTAAGTACAGAAAGAAATACTTAGTTCGTAGAAAGAAAGATATAAAGCAATTTTAATCTCGATAAATGAAACAAGATATTCAACTTTATAACCACAAATAACCTCTCTCTTTAAAAACAAGCTACATTTGAACATAATTACAATCAGTTTGATATAACTAGATTTTAAATTCACTTCATAATAATCATAATAAAGTACTCTGTCTTATGTCCCGATTGGCATATTAAATGGTGACTTTCTGGATCCATTTATGGACCAATACTATGTACATATTTTTATCGTATAATTGTTAATTAACTAAACTATTCATATTTATGTCTCTTATCATAAGCTTTATTTTAACCTATGAACTGCTATTATACAATTTACTATTATTGAGTTATTCCCTGTCTATTAATCACTACCTCTCACATTCACAGTCACATCTGGCTAAATCTTGTACAAATGTTGGCGAAACTCTAATTTAAGGACGAGCCAATCAGAAGCGTTTGAGCCGTTTCAAGGTCACGGAGCCAAGTTTAACACCTGATGCTCACATATGGTCGGTTTACAGCGGATTTTAGAGAACGGTTGATCATTGAGAGGCTACAAGGGATGGAATTACCAAAACGTTCTTGTACGTGAGACTGCGGTTATCAAATGACTGCAGTAAAGTGTGCAAATCACTGTGGTGAGATTATATTTCGTTGTCCTTTATGTTGGAGGAGAAAGTATGCTAGAACGGGGACTTTCTTTGCTCGATTGCTACTAAAACTGGATCAGATTATGATGATAGTTGCAAATTGGGTAATAAAAACACCAGTAACACTGTCTGCGGCGTTTGCAGCTGTTTATGAAACTTCAGCAGTCCAGCGGTATGAGTACGTACTCATACCACTGGACTGATACTTAGTAGCATTTCCGTAAATATACTCGACAGGTACTTGAAATTTATGACTTTTATACCGTATGCAATATGATTTCAAAACATCTGAAACTTTAGCAAACCTTGATCAGTTTTTAAATCATGTAAAAGAAGTATATTCACTGTAATCCATTAGTTTCTTCTAATATATTTCTACGTTATACTAGCTGTCTTCTGATTGGCTAATATTCCCAAGGTCATTTAAAATTCGTTCAAAGGTCGTCCCTAAATTAGAGTCTCGCCAACGATTCATATCGCAGAGGCTGAGATTGATGTTCTGGACTTAACAACTGGCTAGGCTAGGCTAAGCGGAAAACAGGAGCAATCAGGCACTCTAGGCTGCTCGCACGTGTTTTACGCGTTCTTGATACGATCAATAATTCATTGCTTTTGATTGGCAGCTACAAATTATAACACTTTGATCCCAGTGAACATTTTTTCGATCAAAAGTTTTCATCATTCAAAGTATTAATTCTGTTTAAAATTAGTTTTTTTTTTAGTAGAATAATAAAAAGCGAAGAGAAAAAACAAAAATCAAAAAAAAACCTTGTCGGTTTGTTGTAGAAGGAGAATTGGCCTCAAAGATGAAAATAAAAAAAAAACGAGTTCATTTTTCTTCCTTTTCAAATATAATACATGATCAAATCAGAAAAGGAAGTTAGATACTTACTTTGCTTAACAACATGGATTATAATATTGTATATATATATATATATATATATATATATATATATATATATATATATATATATATATATATATATATATATATATAAAGATAAAAGAAAAGAAGAGTTGAAATTTGATAGAAAAGAAACATGACATAAACTTTGAATTGATTAGAAAACTAAATAAAGAAAAAAAAAGTAGCCTACATATTAAGAATCGATTTTTAGCTTGGCAACAAGTAAAAACTAAGAAGATACTATGATAGTGTTCACTTATGTTTATTTATTTAGATACATAAACATTGATACAAGGATGTATCCATTTATATATATATATATATATATATATATATATATATATATATATATATATATATATATATATATATATATATATATATATATATATATATATATATATATATATATATATGCACCTTACAAATCATTTGATTTATGTGAGGGCTAGGATAGTGCCGGGGTATTCAAACCGAAGTTGATGGTTTTCTTAGGTGGGAATGGCACTCACAAAGCCTTAGATCTAAAGGTTTAATCCACAAGACAGTGAAACAATGTCAGAAGATACAGTCCTTTATGAATCTTTCAATGATGAGGTTGAGGGTAGGAGAGAGTTCAGTTTCTTATTTGAGATCCAAATCAATTATACATTTATAGTCTCTGAAAGGGGAATTATACTCATGTTATCCTCACAGTAGGGGTGTTGTTTACGAAAGCAAAATTAAAAAAAGTAAACTTCTAGGAATTGAACTGAGTCAATTGATAGGGAGGATTGACTTAAGGAACGAGTTAGGAAGCTCTGATTAAAAACGAATAAAGAGCATCAATGTATAAGTCATTATCTATTCATCGACTACTATGGGACAATTATATTCAAACACTCCCCCACTTTCTTGTGAATTAAAGCTATAGATCAAAGGCTAGAGGAGTGGCCTCTGAAGAAAACCATCTACTTCCGTTTGTGTGCCCAGGTAGTATAGCAGTGCATATAGAAATATTCTGTATAGCGTTTACTAATCTTTGGTACCCAGTTATACCAGATCTTATGTAAATAAACAAAACAAGAAATGTAACCGAGAACTTTCAGGTTTTACGACAAAAATATTACCCCTGTAGACCACTACTACTGGGTTTGACATTTAAAACACAAAAATGTCAAATGGAGATAATACCCGTGAAATAAACTATGCAAAGTGAGATTTGATTGAGAAAAGTATTACACAATCGAAAAAGAAGTATCAATCCAATACGAACAATCCTATCATATGATCTTATCAGTACTATTATCATTATTCTTACTATACTATAATACAGAAAGGGAAAACAAACAAACTATGTTTAACTTACCAAGTCCAATACTACGTAAGAAGTGTAAAAAGTTCATGATTAATTTGCTAGGATTCTCTTCCATCACCATACCAGTACAATCAGGCATCTAAATAAAGGACAGATAAAAGAAATCAATGATAATATAATTTATACGAATGTTCATCAATATTAGAACGAATAGTTTAATAAAAATTGGGCGCCGAGTATAGCATCCTGAAGAAGTTTAGACAAGTTTGATGGACGAAACACTGGAATTACTTAAATTTCAAATATAATTTTTTACATACAATGATAATATCAGTTAATCATTTACAAGTAATATTGAATCTGGCATACATATCTGCATCAATCCAATTTATTATATTATAACTATGGTGTATGCTATTTATGTCGACAGATATAAGTAGTATGTGACACCAATCAAAAGCTGAATGGATGGCAACAGAAAGGAATTGTGAATTAGAAGAATCAGATAGAATGTAAAGAGCAATTGATGAAAAATTTAGTGTATAGTTCTCATATTTTACGAAGATATGTTGTAAGTTGTATGAAATAATAAATTGGAAGTCTCCCACTCGTGTTCTCTTCCATTACATAAAACATAAGGAAATGGAACTATCATGATAAATGTCAGAGTAGTAGTACTATCATCAGTGATATTAAAAGGAATCGGTTTGAGAATACAATTACTTGTAGAATAAGAAAATATAAAATAACTTTGAAATTTAGGATTTAGAGAAGAACAATAAATGTATGCATCTGACCCAATGCTACCGCTTCTGATCCATGTCATCCAACGTCTTCTACGACCGTTCACGGTAAGTGCGCAGGCATTAAACAAAACATGGCTCAAAACAACAGTTAATGACTTTAAAGAGTGATACTAAATTTTGGTTTGATCACCCTTAACCTTCTTCCTCAATTGATTGAAAGTCACAATTTCAGCAATCAATATCTCACCGTTGCTTAATACCTTATCTCTTATTTCAATATCGCTTATTCAATGGTCTTAACAAACTCTGACAGCGTTTCCGAAGACATCTGTGATGAAATATCAGTAACCTACTTGGTTATGATCCGCGTGGCTATCGTAAACAATAGTTGGAGACTCTTGGTGACATGTCTCAGAATCGATCACAATGGCGTAGGTGTAAAAACTCTCTGTCTTTCCTTAAACTATGAGATTAAAATCGCTTTATATATTTCTTTCTACGAACTTATTCTTTCTTCCCGTACTATATCATTATATGCAATCTTTCTATTATATATTACCACCATTGAATTAATTACTTCTATGTATTCGGTGTTCATCTTCTTGTGCTAATGAGGTATGGCAACTTGTGTTCCGTTCCCGTTCTTTCCTCATCGACCTTCTACTAAAATACATTCTATGCTTCACCATCGTCATAAACTACTTGTGTGGATATAAATAACCCACACCACAGTAGATCTTCAACAAATACTGACTAAAATTAGTACTTTCTATCATTCAAACAAGTATACTTTTCTTGGAATCCAATTATAACCGACCGTTCATTTATAACAAACAACTAATTGTACATAGTAAAATAATATTTATTCAAATTCAACGATGAAGCTGAAAAATTGAAATTCCCTTTTTAGAAATGTCTTTTTTTTTCTCTTCAATAGGGAGTTGTATTCGACGATTGAAACATGAAAGAAAGAATCTAATGAAGAATTTTTAAGGAATTTTCGCATTCAATTATCGTTATTTCCGCACTTGTTTTACTCACTATAAAGTGATTCGTTCATACTCTACACATATACTATAACATAGAACAACATTTGGGTGTAAAGTAATCAATAACTACTAGCATATGATTTCAGTAGTATATCTGCAATTGTTAGCAAATAATAGTAGTAATAACAATGATCACTTTATTCAATGTAATATGTTCAGTGTAATATGGCATACTCATTAAACTTTCATTTAGTAGTATTTTACACATAACATCAATATAACCCTATCAGTGGTTCTATCAAACGTGTGGTCATTGTCTACTACACGATGAAATCACTTTCAATGATCATCCTTCATAATTATGAATTAATAAGAAGTGAGAAATGAACGTTCTGGGTTCAAAAATCGGTGGATTTTAGATGAGTCACTCTGAAGAATCCTATATTAGGATGAGAAATTTGTCCAATGCTTCCATTTTCCTACTCTGTGGTTGTGTCTAAGGTCAGTTCAGGATCAGAAAAATCTATGGTGAAGAGATCAATCGTAAGCTCCTTCTTCCTCACTGATAATAGTGTTTTGGTCCAGATGTCGACTTAAGCTAGAAGTAATTAGAGGAGCTCTAAAGTGGTCAAACATAAGTTAATATAAGGATCAATGATTATTTTTCTGATTACCTTAATGAGTAGTAAAATAGTTTCGAATCAGTGAACGAGAGTATATGATTCTGTAAAACTCACCAATTTACCTTCGAAATCAATTGGAGCTTATAAATAGTTTTTAAATATTCAACACTAATTACCTTTCATTCTCATAATGAAAAAATATACTATTCAGTCAACCGAAGCATATTTCTTACTATATTCAATGTGAAATTTGTGTACTATAACTATACTACTTATAAGTAACTATAAATAATCCCCTAAATTTGGTTAAAACCATGATTAGTAAACAAACTTACTGGTTGATACATATTTTGTATTATAACTGTTGAATCCACGAACTGATCATAGCCAGACCACCGTTTCGAGCCTGAAAACACTGGATGGCCATTTCTCCCTATCATGGGACTCCTATGCGGTGGGTGTTAATGATCCACCATGAAAGAATCGAACCCGGGACTCTTGGTCTCGTTCACGAACGCTTAACATCTAGACAACTGATCCAGCCATTCAACGTCAGATGACAACACCGTAGTTTAAAATCCATGATAATTATCACTTACTGCAGAGCCATTTTTTATTCTTGCATTTAAATAATCGGAGATAAGACAATCTTTAGATTTACTCAACCTTAGCTAAATAAAATCAAGAAAAACCCTCCTAGTTCCCAGTAAATTGAATTGATTATGATATATTTTGCGCAAAAAGACTCCTGAAAGCAAATAATCTATAGAATGAAAATAAATGAATTCAATTACCATAAGAAATTGTGTACGTTTCGGATCCATACGTCCATTCATATCAGCTAAAGCACGTGACAATTCCACAGCACGATCACCAGTTACTAAACATACTTCAGTAAGTATAACTGTTGGTTCTTCATTTGGATTTGTTTGAGCATCAGGCATTGGAGGACCAAGTATTGGTCGAACCAATGGTAATGGTGTTCGATCCACATAAGAACGTATATAACCAGCTAAATTAGCTGGATTTAAACTTCGTGTTAATGATTCATAAAAATTAGCTACATCAGCATTTTCGACTAAACCCTAAATTATGAAGTGAATAAAATGTAAAGCTATTTTAGAGTAATCAAAGTTAAGAGTCAACTTGTTTTAAATAAAATACAACAGATTAATAGAGTTAAAGTTAATATCATTTCCACCCCCACCCCCCTATCTAGTTTCCTTGTTGAATCATTTCGATATATTTAAAGAAGTTTTAGAACGGATTTCTTCAGTTATAATAGTTTACTTATAAGTATTTTAAGGAAAAAATCAAATAACTTATCATTTTCTCTAACTATCAATAGAAAAAGCTTACTGACCCTGTAGAAGTATGTTGACTAAGCTTCTCATGATATATCATAACTATTCAAATGTAAACTTAGACAATATGTAACTTAATAATGATTTGTCAAGTTAAATACACAGTCTTAAAGTAGTACATGATTGAAGATTATGGTACCTCAAAAAAAAAACACGAAAAAAATACAATCGCCAAGGTTTCAAAAAGAAAATAGTGGTGGAGAAGATTTGTAGATTAGGTGGACGAATTTGATGGAGTTTTGTTCTCTGAGTTGGATGGTTTGGTCGTGAAGCTTCTCCTTCTTCACGACCAAACTATTTAGCTCAGAGAAAAAAAACTCCATTAAAATATGAAAATAATGAATGGCAAAAGTAAGTAAAATTTAGTTTTAGTAAAAAGTCTCTACACAGCAATTATGCACAATGATGGTTAATAGCATGATATTGTTTCAGAGTTAGAAAGTTTTAAACCCCCCAAAATTAGCCTACAAGAATGGATCTAACAGGAAATTGAATACTATTAAGGAGGTATATTTTAAGGATACTATGAATGAGATGTCTAACAGCTGCGTTATATAATTCAGAGAACATTCATTGAATAGATTAATTGAACTGTATAGGATAGGAAAGCCCAAGTTAATAGATCAATAAATATTGCCTACATGTTATTAAACACAAGCCCCCGAATGCTTTGGTATGGGGGAGTTGGGAAACCTCTATTACAAACCAATAGTGAACGTGGACTCCAGGATTCTGAGAGAACAAATTGTGTACGAACGTATTGCTGGTCACTGGCTACTATGGGACTGTATCTTCTGACGTTGCTCCATTGCCTTGTAGATCAGACTTTTAGGTCAAAGGCTCCGGATGTGGCCCCTAAGAAAACCACCTACTTCAGTCTGGGCACCCGGGAAGTATCCCAGTCCTCACACAAATCAAGTTGCTTGTGTGGCGCATATCTATTCGGTGCCTCCTTGTATCAATGTTTATGTGTTTAAATAAATAATAAGAAATTCCGACGTGCAGTGTTTTATGGTGTAGGAGTAGGTTGCAAGAAAGCTAACAAACGGGTACTAGGTAAGGACGGAACATCAATTGATGATGATGAAGCAAACAAGCAAGCGGAGCAATGACAGAGGAAAAAGCTGCAAGAGAAGAAAATATGAAACAACTGTATGACACAACGAAGATACTGGCAGGGAAATATGGTAAACTAAAGAGGTCGGTCAAGGACAAAGAAGGCAAGCCAATCACTAGGATTCAAGAACAGAGAAACAGATGGGTGGAACGCTTCGAGGTACTCTTGAAAAAGCCAGCTCTACTTAATCCACCGGATATCGAAGCAGCAGACACAAACCTTCATATCGCTGCCACTTTACTAACGATCTAAGAAATCAGGACGACCACTAGACAATCAAGTGCTGGAAAGAAGCAGGACCTGATATGGAAGTAATTGCAAGCATGTTCCACGTTCTATTCGCGAAGATTTGGGAGAAAAACATCAAGATCATACGATATTAATACGACGGACCATATATTTGAAGCAAAACCCATTTCATTTGAATTTACACATTTAAAAGTAATTAATAAGTTCACTATAAACGATGGTATACATTCATCCGAAACAAATGAAGTATATATTCTTATATTTGATATTTCCATTGACTTTTGCCTATATTAAATTTTTGTAAAAAGTTCATTCTGGACGACAACAACAACAACATCACCATAAACGTCATATGAAAGTGAGATATCAGAATTTATTCAAATATGAATGAGAACTTGTTCTATTGACCTTGATCTTGGTTGGTTATGATGGATATTCATTCTGTTATCCTCAGAATATTTAGTTTGATCACCTTCTCCTTTCATTTGATTATTGATCAAATATTGTTTATGTTTTTCTAATTGGTTGGTAAATTGAGTTGATTTCGATATATCTACTAATTGTTGATTGACCCGAGTGTTAAGCTTTCTCTCTCCCTATTCGAAAGCTTAATATTTCTCTAACTGGATGTTTGTTAACACTTGTCTGCATGAACTAATAGAAGCGAGGATATATCATAGCGTTTGACAACTAGTTGATGCTTGTCTAAATAAAGATGACGAGGTAAACCTATTTGTTTGATATAATGTTTTTCACAATTGAAGCAATTTCTTTCATAGATAATGAGTGACTTTCCTTTCACCATTTAGTTTGCATAAAAATGGTTGTTATTTCTCTGTAGTATTACCGATCTTTTATTATTTATTGTATATGACATGTTGAAGTTAGAACTGGTAAAGAATTCGACTCAAAACCTTCACATGACGCTTCTGGGTAGTGAGAAAAGCTTTGTCATCTAATTTGGGTGGTCAGCGGAGATCAGAATAACCCACTACTCTGATGTAAAATGAATTATTTGGGTTCCAAATTCATGGCTAACTAAAATATTGCAGGTTTCCTGATGTGTATATCTATGTATATGAATTCGATTGTGTCTCAGCTTGTGTAGTTTATGTATGTAGGCATATGCAAAGGGTAAGCGCGTAGGTTAACACAAGGAACGTAATCTGGAAAAATGACTGCCCTATGTCTAACACAAAAGGTCGAAGACAAGATGAGAACAAACGGTAGAAAATATTAGGTAGAGGTGAACACCAATCCTCCCTGAAAGAGTGCTTATACTTATGTGTATGTCATGGAGTGCGAGGTAGAAAGTTTTGGTATCAGTGGTATCCATGCAATACGTAAGAAACAGTCAGTAGCAAATAAGTTCGAAGGGAGCAGTGATCATTTACTCTCAAAAGTGGGTGAATATACATAAAAGTATGCTATGGGATTCATGAGTGAAACATTTTGTGTTACCCGTTTGCATGTGACATGTGTTTGCTCCCAGGGTGAGTGTACCTATGTGTATGCGAAGGGATGCATAGGCCAAAGCTTATGTGTTACCGGTATGTATGTACTGTATACTTGCCCATTGGTGAGAGGCCAGCGCGTCAAAACCCGGCAGTATCAATCTCTCTAAGCGATCACATTCAATAAGTAGATTCGTCAGCCTTACAGATCAGAAACCATTTCCTGAAAAGTTGATCGGCTTCACCGGATAAGGCATGATTAACTTAAACGCGGATGGAACACCGCATTAGATACAGTTACTTTTCGATTTATCATATAGCTTATTCAAGTTCTCGGTTTTGCTACAAAAAAATTATTATATTAGACAGTTCTAACCAATACACATATTTAGAATTCGAGTTTTTCAATAAAAGTGCACACTGATGAAAGCAAAGATGAGAATAAACTAAGGAATACACGGAAAACAACTTTTGATGGTATTGTGTTCAGTGAACAATACGATCAGACTGTAATACTTTAATTATCATCCAGGTTGACATCACCAACTCCTAATTCCAATAAAAGTTAGGAGTTGATAATATAATCCAAAACAATAATGAAATCTCCATATTTATTCCATAGAGCTCACAGAACACAACACTACTGAAAACAACCATCTGAACTACAAATCGTCCTTTCAATTACAAAGAAAACAATGGTAAAAGTGTGAACGTAATTAGTTAATTAATTATGATAAGTATAAGGGAAAACATTTTATAAATAAAATCTTACAAATCCAAACCAATGAGCTTCTAATTGACTCATTAAATTATCAGTTAGTACACCGCGTTCAAGTGCAGGTAAATCAGACCAAACATTACGGAACCATTGATAATAACCATGAGTTGATGCATTTGGATTGATAAGGAATAATCCCAATACTTGATCCGGATAACGAAGCTGTAAGATAATTGACAATTTTTAAAATGCGAATAAGACATTCACACTACTTTAATAAATTTAAGTAGCAAAAACGATCACAAGAAATTTAAATGACATAACGTATTACGGAAAATCGTACTTGTCAATTAAAAAAAATGTTTAAAACAATAAAACATAAGGATCTAGAATTCAAACAGAGGGTCGAAGTTATTTATGGAAGGTTAAGTCAAAATTTAAAGTCTAAATGGTAAATGGATACTAGTGTATATCAAAGATGTCGAGTTCATCATTATATATACCTTGGGCAGTTTACCCAAACGTTTGATATACCATTTTCCCACTGTATAAATACTACAATTAAGCTAAGAACTTTATGTTTACATGAGCCGTATGGTTGTGACTACTAATTACATGTATTCACAACCTATTATAAAATGGTTACAAACTATTACAATACTAAATATCAGAAAAGTCAAGCAGAAACACTACATTTATTGGAATATTTTAGAACTCATGTACCCTACACATAATCGGTGAAAAATGTAGTTGTAGAAGATGAACTGGTAAAAAAAGACTTGAATTGCTGGATACAGGTAAAAGATATTAACTATTTACAAAAAAAATTTTAAAATATGTTCAAATATTATTACAATCTGAATGTATGTTAAAAAGATATCCGTAATATTGCATAATTGGTATTGGGAATCGGTACTTTACTGAACTATATGATAGTTATGTGATGTTCCATTAGTATAGACATAATATGTTTGCAGAAATTATTCACTTTGTGCTCTCTATATCTTGGACCAGTTTTATCAACACAATCATCATTTACAAACATTGATGTAGGTCTGTTTCAAAATAATATAGAGCTCTTTAACTGTTGAGAACGTTAGATTCCCAGAATTCACTTGATAAAGGTCCTAATTTTGTAATTTTATTTTGAAAATTTGAATTTTTTTATGTTTCGCTCTAAAAGCGTCCTCTTCACCTTCACGTCGTAATTCCCACTTGGGAAGGTCTTAAACGCTATTGATCCGTTGTGTCTTTTAGTATGCTATTTGGTAACACTTCCCAAGGACAGTTTTGTGTTGTATATATAGGTTTTGATTTGTCTCTGTTGTTATCGCTCGTGCTTCTGGCTTTTTTGTGGAATATACTTCCCCGTTCGGACTTCAACTTCTTTCTGTAGTTAGCGGGACTGGAACGCAACAGAATAGCTAGTTTATTGGTCTTTAGTCACAGGTCTTTGTTCCGTTCGCAGTCTAAGTGAACATATAATCGTTTCAACAAAGCATTAACAATGATATTAAAGTCAGATATGTGACTTTTTCGGTGCCGAGTTAATAAATTTTAATGGTAACACATATACCATAAAAGTGAAAGGTATTGCGATCGAATCCCATGCATTAGATAAGAGTGCATATTCTTAAGTGAATAGATAAACTGTTATCTTAGATTTTCAATTAAACAAAATAGAAATATGATACATTATGAAATAATATGAAATCAAAATATTCATTACTTAACAATTTATCAACTACATATTCCTTAATACTTTTCTTATTAAAGATGAATCACCTTTATCAACCCCCTTTAATACTGTTATAAGTAACACCTTATATATATACATATAATCCAAATCAAATAAATGCCATCTGATTGAAAGAATGAAGTACAGAAAAAGAACTATAATGAAAATGATCATCTATACTCTTACTCTTAATTGAACAATTATAGAGGGTAAATCAATTAATCAATAATAATAATAATAATAATAATAATAATAATAATAATAATAATGATAATAATAATAATAATGTAAGAAAACTGACTTTATTAATGTGTCTATCGATTGTATTGAGAAAGGAAAACAAAGAGTTAGTTTCATCATTAGTGATACAAGAAGAAGAAGAAGAAGAAGAAGATTCAATAAACCTTTTCAAGTGATTAGTATATTATTACAATGGATTTATTTATTCACTTCACTTTACTTCATTGAAGTGTTATTCTTTAGAATATACACCAAAAAAAAAGACATAAATCAATGCATAAGAATGCAATAGTGCATAATTTCAATAAATCCAGGTAAATAGAGTATAACTAGATAGAATGATGATCTGTGTGTATGCAAGATAAATATGACATTCAGAACTATTTCATAAACATTTCAGTAATTAGTAAATAATAATAATAATAACAAGAACTCTATATCCATGAGGGAATTGATGAAAGATTTATTGTTTACAAATAAATATTAGGTTAATGGTGTCCATAGTTGAATTCACTGAATGTTACAGTTTATAAGTAGAATATATATGAGCAGTGAAACAATGAAATTATGGACAAATATAGCTGAAGAATTCTAAACTAGTGAAAGAACAACGGTAATAGGCAGGAGGAATGTATATTTATTGAGAGAAGTTATATAGTATTTAGATAATACATAGACTTCAATCGTATTGCTTGTACATCTTGAGAGCATCGAGTAAGTAAAGCCATTGTTAGGAAACGAGTACTAGTTAAGCATGGTAAATCAATTGATAAAGTAGTGAAACTTCATCACTTGAGATAGCTGGGACACGTGTTACGTATGTGGTGGTGTAAGAGCAGGTTGGAACAAAGCTATGGACGGCCACACCAAAACATGGCACAAATCCATACACAGTACTGACAAGTGGACTGAGCCATGTTGTTAGGTGTAGACTACCTGGTTGGGATTCGCGAGATGATAGCAACTGATGTTTACAGACTTTGAATGACATCTCCCAAAATCGTTTACAATGACGCATGTGCATCCACTCTTTATGTTCTCCCAAATTCTAATCTTCTGAATTCTTCGTGTCCCGATTTTTCTCTTTCCAAATTTATTTCACTGGATTATACTCATTGAATAACATCTTCAAACCCTAATCTTTCCGATTACTGCTCATACTTTTACTACCTCTACCACTACAGGATTTGAATGGACAATTGTATCTGTTTGCTAATGTGTTATGGCAACACGAACTGATGTACGTACGTATGAAGTTCTACGTTGTAACAGAGTGAGACTCCAATAGTCTACTATTTGTATCTTTCGCTGGGTTCTGTCATCTGAACTGTCTTCTCGTTTGGTCTCCAGGAGTTCCTTCTACAATGTGCTTTCGATGTACTTTTACTCTTCACTTTGTCTGATTAATGTAGAAACTCTGACGCCATGTTCCGCTACATATTACTTACAAACATACTTGTGAGTCGCGTCCACTACAATAGGACGAAATAGTTTCTTACCCTCAATGCTTTACCAACTGATATTATTATTGGAACTACTGAGTGAGCAGTACTGACGTTAAATGTCAGAGACTAAAGTGTAAATTTATTGATTGGACGTAGTGTATCAACTGTGCATGAGAGTGGGGAAATATAATAAATTATATACTTTATGCGTGTCACTTGGGTGTACATTGATGTGGCATCTTGGTATACACTCTATAAACTTCCTCCAGTACTATGAGACCAAGAGAATTCTTGAGAATCCTAGTAGTGATAATAATCTGGATGATGATACAATTATTGATGTTGCGCAATCCAGTGGTTTACGTAAAATCTCAACCACTAAACAAGTGATATCACATTGATGATCAACGGGAAATTAATAAAGGTCGTAACTGACAAACATATAGCGTTGAATACCACTTCCTAGTCTTCACAAGAATGAATAGGGATACTTAAATCTACTGTTACTGTAGTGAACGAGAACACAAGTGCGGACAATCGAGTGTATTTGGATACAAAATTACAGAATCTCTTAGTAAAGTCCGAAAACCATACATTAAATACTTCATTTGTAAAATATTCATTAACTGTCTCAGACTTTGTTGTTCCTTCTTTCCCACACCAATCACTTTCTGTCCTCGTTCTCTTCTCTTCGATCTCCTTAACCTTGAGCCGCCAGGTAATACACTTTCGATTTGTGATATATGCTACTTATATCTGTCGACATTAGTAGCACACACCACGCTACTATTTCATCGTTTAATTCATCAGACCCTAGACGATTGGTGACACCTTATCAACGACTGCTGCATGTTTCACCATCAAAATGTAGTAATTTTCTTTTTATAATAACAAGCTGTTGAAAACAACTGTGAAGTCAAGAACTACATCATCAAAAAAACATTTGTTAGTCATTTTAAGAGAGCAAATGATTGCTGACGAGACGCTTTATAATAAGCCAGAAGAGGTAAATAGAACCTTGAATAGTTGTACTGATTCGGCAGCTGAATGCTATAATTAAACACATAGACTACGGACATGATGAATGTGAAACGGTTATGCTGCTGAAGACATTAATCGAAGCGATTATCCGGGACATGATTCAACAGAGATGACTGCTGATGGAGGAATTGATGAACGTTTCGAGAGGGTGATAAGAATGAATTGATTAATAATATCTATGATAAATTACCACTATCTAAAACTTACTTTAATCTTAGATTGGTTATTTTTTCTTGTTTAATTATCATTCGCGAAATTGTGTCTTTTTAGAAATATGAATAGCTGTTTCATTGATTCATTTTAGTCGTTTTTCTACTACTGTTCAATAGGGGTTTGTTCAATGTTTCTCTCTTTTTTTAATTGACTAAAATATTTTGTCGTACTAATTGTGTTAATTAATGTTTGAAAAACGGATTATAAATGGATTTGAGAAGACGTTAAGTTTAAAAACTTATTTGGGAAACTTCATATAGAAGTGAATTGTTCGGATTTCTTCACATATAGTTCACAGCTTGTCCTGTAGATCTTGATTGGTTAGTGCTGACGTTTACTTTTACATGAAGTTTAAGCTGATGATGTCGTTCAGAATAATAAAACTTCACCAAAATAATCCACCTGAGCTACAAATGTTCTCTACCATCTCAAGATCTACGAAGTGATTGATTATTGTGCTGAGTTGTGTAGATTATGTAGTTGGGGTCTGTGAGATTATCTCAACCAATAGTATAAGGCTTTTGGTGAATGACATGATATAGATACATTTACTTATTGTCATTCCCTAGATCTTACATTTCTTAGTTATTTTAAAATTACTTCAAATTTTATTCCAAAAATCCATATTTTCTCGATTCGTATCTTTTAAGACTTATCTTTTCAACCACCATTAATAGATACTTTTAATAGTTATACAACTCTGACACCTTAGCTGTGCTAATGTAGTGTGATAATTTGAACCAATGAAAATATTTGTTAGGTTCTGCTTTGTGTACAACTAACTAACTCACTGGTAGAAAAATTTTCTTTGAAATTGCGTGGATATTTTGAGACTATAGGTTTATCATAGTATTGTTGATCTTCACTCATACAGACAATGTACATAGCAACTAAAATGCATTATTTATTAAAGTAAAGATATGGATGAATGATATAAAAAAAATAAAGTTTGCCAATCAATAGTCATAGAAAATTTCTTCTAACCTGAAAATATATATCAGTATTACAAATGTTTTGTATACACAGATTAGGGATTTTGATATAAACCCTTAACTGGGAAAGATATTAGAAACTATAGTAAATGGTAGTAGATATTTTGTATTACTTATTACTAATACTACTAAAATTGATGAAAAGTGATAAACTTAGGTTATGAATAGACATTGTATTAGATACTTTCTGAACTGCAGTAGTGTTAAATCGAGATGGTGGAGAAGATTTGAAGGTCAGGTGAATGATTTTGGTGGAGTTTTGTTCTCTGAGCTGGATGGTTTGGTCGTGTATATTTCGATGGCTGTTGTCAAGATTTCCAAATGTTCTGACGTGAGTGTCCTTTGCAGCTTCATCTTTTGTTCCAAACCATCCAGCGCAGAGAACAAAACTCCAGCAAAGTGTTAAATTGAACTTGAAAATCTTCAATTAATTCAGAATTTGTAGACAAATATACGCATGTGTGTTTGAAGTATAATAATAAGATCTTTTATTTGAACTCAAGACAGTGAAATAGAAGGTGCTTAAGTTAGTGGACTGATAAGATTCAAAATTATTTTGTCAGCGCTCACACTTATTTGTATTAAACTAAGCAACGCCTAGGTTAGAATCAGTCAGCTACAACGTAGGACCATGTACATATATGCATCGGTTCAAATTGCCATTACTTCATTAACACAACAAGATGAACACTGAATTCATAGAAGTAGTTAATTCAATGGTGATAATATATAAAAGATAGATTGTATATAAAGACTCAGTAATTCAATATTCACGATAGATTATAAACATAAGAGTGTAACTATGCGAAGATGACAGAACCAAACCATTAATGAAAACGAGTAAAACGTTTAGAGAGAAATTTCCATATTGAAAAACAAAATCCTTTCGTCATATTTAAACAGACAGTAGTGTCACGCATTAATAAATCAATCTAATTAATTCATCTTCCTATTTAAACCGATACGAATTTGTAAAAAGAAAAACTATTGTATTCACTGATGAGACGACTCATGTGAAGTTATAAAAACGCAAAAAAAAAACATTTTTGGTTGTATCTATGCACTGATATTTGTGATAGTAGATACTCTTCAGACAGTACTCTCCCAACATTGATCTCAGCTGTAGTACCATTGAAAACCATAAAAAACTGATGACTAGTAGTATTGTGGTGTGTGTTACTTATATCCATATAAATAATATGTAACGGTGGTCAGGCATAGAATGTATTTCAGTACAAGGTCGATGAGGAAAGAACGGGAACAGAACGCAATAGGTATGAAAATGCATGAACAATGAAATCTGAGACAATGGAATGATATTTTGCAAATTAACCATTTACTATATGGTTCTCAGATTTTATTCAGATTCTCTGTAGTTACGTGTCAAATACATCCGATTGTCCCCACTAGTGTTCTTGTTCAGTACAGTATGACGATGTAACAGTAGTGAAACAGTTGTCAACGATGATATTTGATGAATATCGCAATATATTGAAAATTGATTGTAGTATGATTTGTACTAATCGTTGATAACCCAATAATTCTAGTAAATAAGTGTTCGTTTCGAGATTTGAAGGAGCTGAAATCGAAATCTTAAAGTATCATGGTTGTGTATTGCTACAAAGTCCTATATTAGGATAAAACAGTTATTCAATGCTTATTAGTCTTCAATGATACCCGTAACTGTGATTAATCTCTAACAAATACAACCTATAAATTAAACTCATCTCTGCAAAATCCTATCAGCTAATATATATCATGTTTATCGTTACGCATCATAGTCTAAATCTAATCCTGAGGTCACTAATACCTATTATATTACTTATATAATTATATTACTTATAATTACTTATATATACCCTTGTGGGCCAGGGTAAGTTTACATTGATTTTCAGGAGAACCAGACACCATCCAGACTTTCACGTGATAGCCTAAACAGTACAGCTCAACCCCGTTTAACAGGAGAGCCAGACACCGCGCAGGCTTAAATTTTATAAACCGAGTAGTACAGCTCAATCCCGCTTCACAGTAGAACCAGATACTAATACTTACTTGAACTTAGATAAAATAAGTAAATTTCAATTAGAAGTGACCACATTCTATGCAATATATCAATCTCTCTATAAAATATCGTCAATATATATATATATATATATATATATATATATATATATATATATATATATATGCAAAACTATTGTTTAAATTAACAGCAATCATTCAATCATCATCAACTTACCGCATAACGAGCAAGAATGTTTGACCCAGCTCCCATTCCAAAACCCAAAAAATAGTTTATTCTATATTTGAGGAGAAAAAAGAAAGAAAGAAAGAAAGAAGGAAAGAAAATTAAACAACAATAACAAACAAATAGAAGCATAATAATTCAAACAAAACGTCAATTATCAATGAATTAAAAGAAGAAGAAGAAAAAGAAAGAAAGAATAGAGAACATATTTCAAAACAAAAGGATAATAGATAGATTTAAATGGAAAACTAATTAGGTTTAATGAGAAACAACCCATACAAGATATTATTATTATAATTATTATTAATGTTGAAGAGATATGAAGATGGATGCTTGAATCTATCATCATTTAATAGTATTCCAATGCTAAAGAGGTATTATACTAAACTTATACAGAAAATAAAATAGTACAAGTATACTTTTAAAGAAAAAGAAAAAGAAAGCATTGCCTACGCAAGATACTCTAGATTTGTTAGACGGATACTATAAGCAATAATCTACTGTATCAAAGAATTAATCAGTTTTTAGAGGCTAGATGAAAAGGAAGTTAAGAATAGACCTTGGAGTTGTGAAAATCATTATACTGACTCATAAACCAAGTATAAACTTGCAATTTTTAAGAATAAATGAAAAGAGGTAGGCTAAAGAACATATTACGTCAGGAATTAGAGGAAGACATGAAAAGAATGAACAAGGTTTGTAAACAACTGGAGAAGAAAGTCGAGGATAGAGTTGGTTGGAGAAGTCTAGTCCCAGTGTTAATACTTAATGAAGGGTGACAGGTGTAAGTAAGTAAGTAAGTAACCAAAATAATAAACATTAAGGGTAAGTGTATACAAACTCCTTATATTTAATCATTGAATTGGATCAAAGTTAAAATAACTTTGGCTAAAACACTATCAGGTGGTTTCCTAAGGGGTCCACACTGGAAGCCTTCGACCTAAAGGTCTGATCTACAAGGTAGTGGAGCAACATCAGGAGATGAAATCCCATGGTGGCCGATCAACGATAGGTTTATACGCCATATGTTCCATTAGTATCCTGGAACCGATGTACATTGTTGGTTTAAAATCAGGGTTATCCAACTCCCTGTACCTAATAGACTAGACATAACTCAAGAACGGTAAATCGTATAATAATAGTTTACTGCTCAAATAGTTCATAATTCTCGCCAGGATATAACAGGAAATAATCCTATCAATTACCTGATTAGTATAATTTTAACTGATCAAGAGTTAGTTCAACAAACTAACTATTGAGTTCCGATAGATGTATTATTGACATAACTCAAGAACGGTAAATCGTATAATAATAGTTTACTGCTCAAATAGTTCATAATTCTCGCCAGGATATAACAGGAAATAATCCTATCAATTACCTGAATAGTATAATTTTAACTGATCAAGAGTTAGTTCAACAAACTAACTATTGAGTTCCGATAGATGTATTATTGACGCAAATCCTTACTGCTATTATGAGTAAGTTAACAGCTATCTTGACTTACTAACTTCATATATAACGTAGTGCTATTTGAAGTAGACGGCACTGAGTTGAAGTCTAAATATGAACATCAACATTTAGATAGAGATATACCTGAATGATGAGTCTCAAATGGAAGGAAATGCACGTCTTTCATCCCAGTGAAAAATATATTTACAATTCATTTCCAACAACAAACATCTTACTTAGGGATCTAATATGCCAACAAAGACTGTTCAAATATAGTCCTAAACATTAACAGCTGGAAAACATAAACCCTACCTAATTACAACAATATTGTTTTTCACTACAAACTGATAATTATTAGTTAAAGAACCATTGAAAACTAGAGGGTACTCGACAACTGTTTTATTCTAATTTCAGAGTGTACACAGTAGATAAGTTGAAAACTAAAACGCGAATAAGACGGTTCATTATTATTTGTTTGGTGAATTTTCTTTATTAATCGATTCACGATAATGCGCGACCGGCATTAATTTACCACAATAAAAAACTATCTCACAAAGGACTCAGATAGAATTTATTGAAGTTAGACGTTCATATCGATGAATGTCGACTCAGGAGGATAAGTGTTCACTCACAAGATCGAAGATCCAGAGTTAGACATCCGCTTTTTGAAGACTTTCTCACTAAGGAGAAACGGCTATCCAGCGCTTCCAGGTTTTCAATGGCGAACTAGCTACGATTAATTCGTGATTCAAACGATGAAAATACTACAATCTCCACAAGTCTCCTTACATTAATCACAATTAACGTTGAAAAAGCACCAATGAAAACGCACCACTACAATTTCGATAAGTAAGTTAGTCAGTAACAACGTAGAACTTCATACGTACGTACATCAGTTCAAGTTACCATGCCACGTTAGCACAGAGATACAGTTGTCAATTCAAATCCCATAGTGGTAGAAGTAGTAAGTGTATAAACAGTAATCGGAAACGTTAGGGTTTGAAGATGTTATTCAAAGAGTATAATCTAGTGGAATAAATTTGCAAAGAGAATAAAAGGAGACATGAAGAATTCAGAAGATTGGAATTTGTGAGAACACAAAGAGTGGATGCACATGCGTCATTGTAAACGATTTCAAGCCATGTCATTTAGGGTCTCTAACGATCGGTCGCCATCGTCTTGCGCATCCTAACCGGGAATTCTACGCCTATTAACATGACTCAGTCCAGTTGTCAGTGCCATGAATGGATTTGTGTCATGTTTTGGTGTGACCATCCCTAGCTTTCTTCCAACCTACTCCTACGCCATAAAACATCGAAATTTCGATAAACATTATGTAGAAACAAAAAAAAACAACACGAAAACTTGCCCAAAATGAACAAGGACCGATGTGATCATATCAGCCAACTGATCCATATTCGGATAACGAGACCTGATAGAGAGGGAAACAGATATAGTAACAGAAAAAAAAACAACCAAATTATTAATTCGTATACCCAAATAACAATAAACAAGCAATGTGTTGTTTCTCAAAGTTTAGTTAGTTATCTTCTCGTTAAACAATCAATCGCTGATCTTAGATTATTAATGTTATGAAGTTACACGTTAAATGTATTAAACTACGATACAGAATAACAAGTTAACACCGATACTAAAATAGAAACCAAGCAAAGTTATGTGATGATAAATGAACTGAAATAACGAAACGTGAATTGTCTGTATGTGTATATGTATCTGAATGTGTTTATGAAGACGAAATCATGTGAAATCACTTGTTTTCTTTTTTAATTTTTTGTAGATACCTACGTAAAACATTCGTAATATAACTTCGAAAAAAAAGAAATTAACGTCGTTTGAGTCGATGTTTATTCAAATAATTTCATTGAAGTGATTTCATAGTAATTACTTATAGAACAGCTTGAAGGTATTTCACTTTGATTTAGTGATTCCATATTATCAATAAACATTACTAAAAGACTGAAATTCGAAAGTTCAATTTGGTATAGTATGTTAAGTGTGAGGATGGTTGAAAGTGCTTGAGAGGTAAACATTCAGTTATTGTATACACTATGAAATGGTATTTCTTCTAACCAAAAACACAAAGACTTTTGAGTGATGAGTATTCGTTGTGTTACCTCTAGATTGCCATACTTTACTCTCTCCAATAGAAGATTGCGGAGTTGTTAGTGGTGGTTAACTGGTACTTTATCAAAACCTAAGACTCATTACTTAATTGTCATAGTAAACGTTAACTATTTAAGACCTTGTAACCATTCAAAAGTTAGGAAATATAAAAAAAAAAACATACATAACATTGGATCTTGAATTAGGTAACTTCCTACAGAACTGTTACTTGATATGGTTTGTAACTACAAAATGTACAAACATTTTCGTTAGAAAAAAATCAAGCGTAATAAAACCATTAAGGAAATAAAGATTTGTTTAGTTTTTAACTTATAAGGCACCAAGTATATTATAAAAAATCTTCGAAAAAAATAAGCATTTTGTGTTTAAGACAATCGGAATGTCTAGTCACCATATATATATATATATATATATATATATATATATATATATATATATATAGAGAGAGAGAGAGAGAGAGAGAGAGAGAGAGAGAGTCCATCGGGGGCTACTGCCGGTCCCAAGCCCGGATAAAGGAGGAGGGTTGGGCATGGGGTTAGCGATCTCATCCCGTAGAAAACTAACTCGCTAAAAAAACGCTAACCAAAAAAACGTAAGTAAGTAAGTAAGAGAGAAAGGCAAACCTAATATCTAAGTGAAATCTCATTGAGATCCAGAAATGATCAGTGGTAGGCAACTTAGAAGGATTGGACAGTTGTTTCGTCCGATTATGACACTCCGCAAAAGTGAAAGTTGTTATATACCCACATACATATCTACTAACATCAGCAGAGTTATAGAAATTTTAAAACAAAAAATAACGAAGCAAATAAAAAAGAATAACAATAATCGAAATCATGAGTCAATTGAAGCTAGACTATCATGAAAAATGTGGAAGCAATCGACGACCGTTTCGTCTTAGTGACTGATTTCAAGAAGCACTTCATGGGGTTCTAGTGAGAAGCCGTCACCAATAGAGTTCAACCACGTCTGTTGTAAGATATCAACTCACTGAAGACAATGGTGTCTGGTAGTGCAATTTCGTGGATAAGTTAAAGTAAGACATTAACACAGTTGGATGCCGGCTCAGTGGTTTAGTGATTACGCGGTCGCGCGCGAGACCGATAGGTCTTGGGTTCGAATCCAGCATGAAGCGGGATCGTGGATGTGCGCCGCTGAGAAGCCTTATACTAGGACGAAACGGCCGTCCAGTGCTTTCACGTTTTTCATGATGATCTAGCTTCAATTGACTCATGATTTCAACTATTGAAATTTCTAAAAAATCTCCACAAAACCCCTTCTGATAAAAAAGAATAACATCAATGATAATAAAAATTTAAATAAATGTGGTTAAAGAAAGAAAAATTAGGAAATAACAAATAATTTAATATTTACAAAAAGAAAGAAAATGAAAATTGACGCCATATTACTCAACAATTAAAATCACATAATTTATGAGTATTAATACAAAAGTTCTAAATCAAGAAATCTATATTTGGCTAAGACCAATAGTAATTAACGATTTTATGAACTGATCCCATGTCCAGCAAAAAAAAAAAAGAAAAAAGAAAAAAGAAAAAAAAAGAGAAGAAATAATCTAGTTAAAAGATACATTAACAAATTGTTTAACGTGTTTAAATTACAATCTAAAACACTAGTTGTAAATAGACAATATCTAAGTCGATAAAAACAATTATGTAACAACAACAACAACAACAACAACAACAACGACAACGAAAAAGAGCGCCGGATTAATACGATTTTTACAGTTCATATTTAGCAGAGAGAGAAAAAGTTAGAAAAAAAAGGGGGGAAACGACATTCTAATGAATTTGTCTCCAGAGTTAAATAAAAAAATAAACATTTAAAAAATGTAAAATTGTAAAAAAAAAAAAGAAATAGAAATGAAATGATTCGTGAAAGAAATCTTTTATAGAGCATAAATTAGCCTACTTTGAATGAGAACAAACCAGATTCCAGCTGAAGAGGAAATTAGGAAAAGACGATGGAAGTGGATAGGATATACATTACGGAAATCAACAAGATGCATCGTGAGGCAAGCCCTAACTTGGAATTCTGAAGGAAAGCGGAAAAGAGGAAGGCCAAAGAACACATTACGTCGGGAAATAGAAGCAGATATGAATAGGATAAATAACAACTGGAAAGAGCTGGAAAGGATTACCCAAGACAGGGTTGGATGGAGAATGCTTGTGGGAGGCCTATGCTCCTTCGCGAGAATTAACAGTTAATCAGCCACAACGTAGGATCAAGCACATATATGCATCGGTCCAAATTGCCATACCGCATTAGCACAACAAGATGAACACCGAATTCATAGTAGTTAATTTAATGGTGGTAATATATAAAAGAAAGATTGCATATAAAGATATTGTACAGAAAGAAAGATATGAAGAGATTTTAACCTCACAGTTAGAAGGAAGACAGTGTATACACCTACGCCATTGTGACCGATTGTGAGCCATGTCACCAAGTCTCCAAGCATTGATTACCAGTTGCATTTGAAGAGATTAAAAAATGTTGCAAAATATGAACACAAGGAAGAAATTATATGAATAATTTAAATGACAAGTTGCAGAATGTTTAGAAGCATGTAGCTGAGTCTTGTGCCTTATTCACTATGATAATAACAGCAATAAACAATTGTGATATATGCTACTTATGTTTACAGATATAAGTAGTACGTAACAGCAATCATAAGTAGAATGTTTGCGAGCAGAAGATTGAAATGAAGAGAAGATAGAAGTCAACTAAAACCAATGAAGATAACAATGGGAATGAAGGAACAATGAAGTTTGTAAGAGACAATTCAAAGATGTACAAATGATGTATTTAATGTATGATTTTCACAATTTACTAAACCACTGTGTGATTGTGCGTTAAATAATAAATTGGTTATCACCATCTAAGTCTTCGTTCACTATATTATTATACTGCCAACTCTATTTGGAATAATTACAACTTTCCTAAATAACTCGTAATGACTTGTTTGAATGGTTTGTCAACCGTTAACATTCATTTCTCGTTCCATGCAAGATTACAGAGACGAGAACTTCACGTATACGAAACCTAATCCAATGCACACTTACACCTGTGCACATTCATTACTTCATTGAGTCGATTTGTACTATTTACCGACAACGCTATGTCTATCCTCCTCCATATCACATATATATGACACCTAGAAATACTCAATATTCTTTTATGTATCTTTTCAGTTTCAATAACTAGGTGTCACTGTTGTAGGAGTCACTTAGAATTTACAGAATCATGACTACTTAACACTTTTTTTCTAAAAAAGAATATTCATCTACATGAACTATCGATTGACAATGAATACAATAGCAAACCAGTAGCTGATATGCTTTATATGAAATTAAAATGTGGACTTCAGAAAGTGTAATAATAAGATGATGATTATCAAAACTATGTGAGATATATTAGCGTAGTACATTTCGCACATATACTCATTGTACAAACGATACTATTGATGACGAATTGAGGTCACTGAACAAAACAGTGATAGGGAGTTGTTATCCTATAAAATTGATAAATCGATAGAAAAGCGACAGTATGTTGAGACCTACTACACTTTCAGCACCAAAATAGCCTACCTACATCAACCTAAGAGTGAGAAATGAGTCAAATGTATAATCATGATCAGCAAGTTAAGGTGTCTAGAAATGTATCTAAATCAAATCAAATGATCTGATAAGAGTAGATAACAAACATCCATCGTCCTCTATTTCTAAACACATTTGATACAGGTTATAAAATTCATCTTAACTCGGCTTTTGTGATTTCGAAAAAAAAAATTCAAGAGCGTCTATTGAAGTCTTGGGCATACAATCCTCCTTTATATATTTAAAAACGGTTTGCTCTTACCTTAAACCTACCATGGTAACAGTGTTCTTTTTATCTCGATTATCTTTGTTTTCTCTTACCATCCATTTGTCTAGCTGACCTTTTATCTTCTCATATATTAATGTTCTCATCAAATATATGTATTATACTCAGAGATGAGTTTTGTGGATATTATAGTAATTTAATTGTTGAATTCATGTGTCAAGCTAGACCACGATCGAAAATCTGGAAGCACTAGACGGTCGTTTCGTTCTATTATGGGATCCTCAGCAGAGCGCATTCATAGTCCCGCCTCGTGAGATCCGAACTGAGCCGACCGGGATCCAACGGTGTTAATATATAACTTCAACCAATCCAGGTTTTCCATGGTGATCTAGCTTCAATTGTCTCATGAATTCAACTATTAAAATATATGTATGATCTGAT